GAGCTGTTGTTCACCATCTTAGCTGTAGAGGGCGCAGCTTCACTGGCCCACGTGGGATCCGAACCGGGGCCCTGCTGCTCAGAGCTCGCACTCCCAAGCCAATGTGCCACTCGGCCAGCCCAATCTTCTGTTTTCTTTAACATGTTAATTACAGTTACTTTGAAGTCTTCACTGCTAATTCCAATACCTGGATCATTTCTGTACCTACTTCTACCTCTTGGCTATTAGTCACTTTACCCGGATTCTTCTCACTTGATAAATTTTTATTTCATGTTAGATATTTTGGACAATACATTGTAGAAGCTCTGGATGATGTTATCTTTCTCTAAAAACCATTGAAATTTTCTAGTTCCCAGTGTAGTTACTGGCAGGTCACCTTAATTCTGATGAAGATTGGATTTAGACTGTGATGGTGGGTTTATTTCTGTATTGACCTTACTCCTAGAGCATGATCTATATCCTTAGGGCTTGACCTTTGTTTTTTTGGTAACTCATCTGAAAGTCTAGGATCCAATCTCTCTTCTCTGGCTGGGTTAGAACTCCCATCACCCCAGCACTGTGCAGCCTCTGAAATTTCTGCTCAGCTCTCCGGCCCCCAGCTGCTCTCTGTTAGGCCTCTGGGAGTTTCATCCTGTGCTCATGCAGTTGGGGCAAAGGATGTGAGAAAAATTTCTATAAAATTTTAGGAGTTCTTTCTCTCCTGTGCAATTCCCTCTTCTCCAGAACCTGCTCGCTGAATCCCAGCTACTGTGGCAACCTCAGCCTTCAATCTGTTTCCTCTGCCCTGTGAATACACAACTTCTGCTGGGAGTCAATTTCCCAAACATCGTGAATGTGAAGTTCACTTCCTTTCCTCCCTCCCTCCCTCCCTTTCATCATAGCTGTGTTTTGATTGCTGTCCACTCCTGAACATTGTTCTTTTATATATTTTGTCTAGTTTATGGCAGGAAGGCTAAGTTTAATACCAGCTATTCTGTCATGGCTGGAACCACAAGTCCAAGACAACTTTATTTTTTTAATCGATAACAGTTGTCAATGGGGTGGAGTTGGTATATATTCCATGTTCTCTGTGTATTTCAAAACGATTACATTTTTTCTCCCCCTGCTGGAAGCACTAGGGATTTTTTTCTTCAGTCCTCACTCTGAGAACCTAGTGGGGCTCCTGGAGGTAAAATAATGCAAGTATGGGACTCCTACGACTGGGCCCATAAGAGTTTTTAACTCTCAAGCTTGTCTACACGGATCCTCCAATAATTCATTATTATATTTTTATGTGTTCCTGTTGGTGGTGCCTCTAGCCGGGGGCTTGTGATTCTCTGTTTGCCTGTCTCTCTAATTTTGGGGACTGTGGTTTACCCTGTGACCTCGATTCTTTGATGGATCTGGGAAGGACTGTTGATTATTAGTTTGTCCAGCTTTTTTTTCTCTGTTGTGAGGACAGAAGTGATGACTTGTAAGCTTTTAAATGGACTAGACACCAGAAACCTCCTTTATTCTAAATTAATATACATTAGCTTCTCAGGCTGTCTTAAAGCAACATGGATTCTGAGTGGACTCTTCCAGTTTCCAACAATGGGAAAATATATGTCATAATAATAAGCAAAATAAAACAGCAGAACATGTATATGAAATCTGACCTTAACNTCTTTAAAATAGGGATCATAATTGGGAGTTGTGAACTTTCCTCACAGTGTCTGACCCATAGAAAACATTCAGTAAATGTTATTCTTAATTTTGCTGACATTGCGTTTGGTAATGATATAGCTTTATTTTCTGGGTTCATCAATCCTTCAAGTTAATGAAGGATTAAATAAAGATAATCATTTATCTTTGATTGACCTCAACTTACATTTTCCTTTTGTTTATATACCAGGTAATCACTCTCAAAACTAACAAAATTGTATTTCTTTAAATATAGGTTTCTGTTTGATTTTTTTTTTTTTTGCTCCGTGAGATTGATCCTTGTCTTCTAAGTAACCCTGAATTTGATAGATGAGTAAACACAGATGTAAATGTATAAAATCTTCTAGTTCTTAAACTCTGTTTAAGAAGTTTTTACTTTGGGGTTAATTTATTTCTCCTCTTCACAAATATTTTAGCTTACTTTGGGGATAAAGGACTGTTTGGTCATCTGGATTTGGAAGCAGTCAGTGGACAGTAAGAACATGGAAGGTGTGCGCTCTGGCTGGGATAAGAGCTGGGACATCGCTCAGACCTTCACCCCTTGAATGAATGGCACAGGTCTCTTCTCAGATGCATCTGTGGCAGAGTGGAACCTCTCCTGACTTATTTATGATAGACTGTATCAAAATAAAAGTTTTCAACAATGTTACGTGTTGAGTCCTTCTTGAATTGAACCTAATAGGGCTATTAGGTAAAAATCTAGCCTTTGGTACTTTTTCAAATCTGCATAAATGCTACCTTAAAAAATAAGAGAATTTCCAAGTTAATTTCTTAACACGTGGATGCCAATTTCCCTGTACACTGTATTAATTACTTCCTCTGGGATGTTTTAAGGTAGTAAAAGTAGAAATAGCTCTCAGTTTGTGACAAACTGGGCCCTTTCCACACTGTGTTGGAGTGAAGTTCTGATTGAAAGAAATAGGGGTTCTGTGGCTCTGGTGGTCAGGGATGGGAATGCATTGGGGAGTGTATGCTGATTTATTTGTGAGTCAAATGTGAGTCTCAGATTTCCCTCAGNCCATGTATTTTCCAGTTGATCACTTAGGTTTTTCAGTTTTTCAATATTTTAACATAACAATATAATGAACATGATTATACACATAGATTTTATAGGTTTTGACTTACTCTTTAT